TATTTCTTTAATTTTAAACGTAAAAATAACTATTCAAACAATTTCTGAAAACAAAAGTACTGCCGAAATAAGCCGAAAAGTTATTTCTTAGTCACAGTTTTCAGTTTTTTTTCCTTTTCGTTTGAGATATTCTTAGCATACAAAGTTTCATCGTCTGCAGCAAAAACTTCGTGGAACGATGCTGTTCCTTTCACTGTGGCAATATTTGGAATCGACTCCTTTACAGTTTTTATATCGTCTGTACCATAGACGAACAGTTTGATATCACTTGAACTTTCAACTGCTTTCATCAGATCCAGAGCATTTCGATAAATGTTATCAGGATCAAAAGCAATTGTTTCATCAAACTTTCGTTTGAGCGCTGCGCCGACGGCGTCAGCAACTCCCTTGCCGTGTCCAGATTCGAGAAAAATCCATTTTAAATTTATTTTTTCTTCTTCAGCATATTTCTTCATAATAGAAATTGTCGTTTTATTTCGAAACTGCGACACTGGAGAATCAGAGATGATATTAATGGTTGTAATGTTTTTCTGTCGAATTAAGTTTTCTACTAATTCCTTTATTGCAGCCCAAGCTGACTCTGACATGTGGCTGGTATCATCACTTAATGAGCCAAAACTAAACGATTCATTTTTAGTCCAGACATATCCTGATAGAATTGAAATATGTTGCTCATAATAGTATGCACCTATTTATGGAGAGAAGATATAGCTTTAAACAAAAGCTTCTGAAAATCTGAGTCGAAATAGAAACTAATGCTTTACCTTTCTCATCTCTTGCCTGCTTTAGCGTATAATTCTCACTCCAGTCAAGCTGTATAGTCGCTGTACCGTCGTCCTCTTTTGCTGCTGATTTCGCTGCTTTTGCAGCTTTAAACTGTTCGTGGCACCGACTGAGATGATCTTTCAGAGCCTAAATATGTAAAAAAATCGAGAAACGGTTTTTCTGGATATTCTCAATGGCAAAAAACACCTACGTCAATTTCGGTGACAAACTTCGGCACAAAATCTTGAAGAGACAAAGTGATCGCTACTTTTGTGGAAACAGGGACGGTAGAATTTGGCTCTTTATTTTTTGCCATTCGACATAAGACACATTCAACTTCTCTTTCACCAAAGACTTTAAATTTTCTTCAAATTCCTAAATTTGAGTGACTAGATTGACTAGATCACTCGTTGACTAGATATATCTAGTCAACGGTCAAAGTTCATTGCGAGTAGCACTTCTTTTTTCTTTTCATTCATTGAGCGAGTGTTCATGAACCATCACAGAATGAAAGAAACAAAATTTTATGATTGTTTCAGTCATAAAATTTCGGTCATTCTACTTTCTTTAATCAACCAAGAAAAAACATATCCACTTAACCGGTTTTCAAATGACAAATCATATTATATGTTATTTACATGTATTTTCGATCCTTCTATTCGGGCTGTTGCAACTGAAAAAGATGGATAAGTTACATTGTTTTGTTTATTATTTTTGATGAGCAGATATTGTGTAGTAGCATATTAGTTGAAAGACGGTGATAAACGGTAAACAATAGTAATTTCCAGTAACTGTTTTCGTCTAGCGTACCTGTTCTCGCTCCCAATGGTTTTAAACAGCCAAAGCTAACACCATATCCGATCGTCGTATGATATGACAGAGCTGGACAAGTCACGGATTCTCCAAGTCATAAGTCAAGTCAAGTCACCAAAAATTTTCTCAAGTCAAGTCGAGTCAAGCCATGAATAAATAAAAAAACTTCTCCAGTCAAGTCACAAGTCATGACTTGAATTTTTTTTTCATAGAAAAATTCCCAAAGCGGAGCTGGGCAGGTTACAGTTTTTCTCTGAGCTTCGGCTTTTTGTTTAGATACGATGTTTCTTTTTCGTATTTCAAAAGATAATCGTAAAAAAGGCAATGCTCTGATGAGCCTAGCATAGTTCATATTATTCATATTATAACAGGTTTGGTCTCAACTGAGATACAATTCATATTGTAATCAAGTAGCTCAGTTGAAAAACCATTATTCCTGCGATTGTGTACACCGCACTCTTGCACAATAGCACGTTTCAACGCACATGTCAGAATTGTGTCTCACTTGAGAAACGAATATTTTCGCAGAAATAATGGTTTCTCAACTGAGATACTTGATTAAAATATGGATTGTATCTCAGTTGAGACGTTACGTTATAACATCAACATTCCCAAAACATTATGAATTATTATTTAAAATTAGATTGTATAAGAGGTTTGAAAATATACGTGACTTGACTTGATTTTTTATGCCGAGTCGCAAGTCAAGTCTTTTAAAAATATTTTCAAGTCAAGTCAAGTCATGAGTCATAAAAAATTTCTCACGTCAAGTCAAGTCATTTTTGACTTGACTTGCTCAACTCTGTGATACGAGCGTATTGTAAAAATACATCTTCCACTATGAGTTTACACGATAAAATATTGTGTTCATCCTCCTTGAACCAGACAGGTCTTGGTCACCCGCTCACACGATTAAAGAGTGGGTAGATCTGAGACAATTTGCATTCCGTTTGAGTTAATGAGCGGCTAATGAGAACGTTGATATTTGCAACGAAAACAAAAGTTTTATTTTCTGTTTTAAAGGGCATTCGTTGTTGCTACGAATTTGAAAATATGGTCTATGACCGATCATAACACTTTTGCTATCTTTTTTAAAGTCCTTTCCGATGAATAAACAGATTCAACAACTGAATGGTGATGGCATAGGTCCTAATTTAACTGCAGCGGATAAAATCATAATCTCGTCTGGTTTGACAACACGTAAGAGAAAAACGAATATTAACAGTCTTCATGATTAATCTTTTCAAGAGTTAAGGTTCATTATGAAGAAACATCTAATTAAGGCGTGTAGCACAATACAGTTTTCTTTTACTCATAGATCCGCTATGCCAAGGAGTTTTCGACCGTGCCGTTCGTCCTTTTCAAAATGGATCAGGATTCATATTGTGCGCAGGAATAATCAACGCTGGTATCGTTCAAATGTGTCGGAATGGCTATCATTACGCCGCGATAAGAGGTTGCAACGCAAGTATGCGTCGGAGAAGAAAAGAAATGAAAAACTAAACATGTTTTACTATAGCTTCAGAAACTCCAACGGCTTGTTCTTCCTCGCCTTGTGTGAACGATGGAATATGTATACCGATCGCTTCAAAGTCAAGAAAATATTTTTGTAATTGTCCTGCATACACTGTTGGACCTCATTGTCAGATAAGTACAAAATTATGTCTATATGTATGTGGACGTGATGAATGTTACTCGTTTTCCTATTATGACGAGTTAACCCACGTTTGCCTGTGTTCAGCTGGTAATTATCGTTCAAAAACGGGTCATTTGTCATTTGAAATAACCACTTATGGTCCGAATTGTCAGCAAACGTACGAGAATCCGTGCTTGAATGCAACAGTCACTGATGAGCTGTTTCCGCTGGCATATACAAATCAAGGATACATTAACTGCACTGGTCCTTCCGAACTTTATCAGAGAGTTTTGTCCTGTCAAAAGGAAACTCGATGGAATCAACAATTGAGGACATGTTTAAAGGCCAATGGTACGACGACGGCTTTGCCACTTTACGACATCACAAGAACAACAACAATAGCAACGGCATTTGCTAATGGGATCATGCCGGAATTTGGTAAGATGATATTTATAAATACAAAGAGCGTTTTGCTGCACGACACTTGTATGTGTGACAGTGTGTTCTCATTCTCTGCTACTTTTCGATCTGAATGCTTCTATACTGTTACGACTTGAGGTGAGGACATCTACTCATTAAAGAGACTAATCTAATGAGTAAGTATGAATGGGGGGTAGATACTGCAGATTGACAACTGCACGGTCTTTTTTCAAACATAAGTCTAGATTCGGCGCCATAAGCTACACAAGTAGAAGTAAAATGTTTTTTGGACTTAGAAGTTGTTCACAGTCCTTTAGCATCAGTTGTCCGGCACCATTTGTGCTTCAGAAGAATAAAAATGATTTTCTCTCTTTCATTCTTTCTTTTTGTTTGTAAAGTATATTTGATTGATATAGAAAATCCCAGTGAAAGTGGTTCAGTGGAAATTTGCAGACGGAGTCTGTCATCATCGCAATTTGTGCGAAGCACAATTGAAATCTAGTTTTCTTGTTTGATCACATTTTTTTGCAAAATGTGCATCGCGTAATCTAGAGAAGTACGTAACGTAGAAAACTTCTGGAAACGGGAGGATATTCTCTTTGTAGTGTAGATTAATAATTGCGCGTTCTTTTTTCAAGCAAAAGTTCAAATTAGGCGCCGTCGGCTCCATCGGTGGAAGAAAAATGTGCTCTGAACTTTTCCTATATGAGTGATTCGGATAAAAATAGCACCGTTCGAATGACATAAATGGTTCTAAGCGTTTCTCCTCTTAGACTTGATGAAACAATTTCGCATTTCTCGCATATACTCATCAATGTTAAACCTATAATCACTGCAAATATTGCTTTTCTATCTTTTACTATTAACGAGTTAGAAGCCAAACATCTATATCTGACAGTTATTTTGTTGTTGACTTTCTTGTGGTTCACATGAGTTACGTTTTATAAATGTTATTTTTCTCTGTTACTTTGTGTGGAATAATATTGTTTTCTCTCTCTTTTCTAGGATTTTCTTCGCTCTATTCGGCTACAACATTATTTTTGTTTCTAGTATTTCGGGTTTTTTCTCAAATTTGTTCAGAATTCGCGGTTCCAAAATCCAATTTTTTTTGTCCCGTAGCCACATAGTCCTGGGTAGCCCTGATAAATTATTTGATCTTCATTTATCTTATGCCAAAAGTTGACCAAATATGTAGAATAGATAACAATGAAAACTCGATGTTTCTATCACTTTTAGCTACCGTGCAATTCACGCTTTACTAACGCCAGGTGAGGTTTGACCGACAATTTGTCCCATAACCACCCACTACATCACGCCTCAACCGAACACGATAGAAAGGTTCTTTTTTATCATAAGTGTAGTCTAACTATACGATGATCCTGTAAAAATGACAAAGACTGAAATTGCTGTATAAGGGAGTAAACTAGAAAATACTAGGAAACGTCCCGTAACCACCTTTGTCCCGTCGAGTAACCGTTTCCTTTTCTTTCTTTTTTTGTAACTTTAACGCAACACGCGTGAACAAAGCCAAATGTTTAGTATAAAGGTTTTACAACGTGGAGAATTTAAGGATGTGCATATACAGCGTTCAAATGGATGGGAAAGGGTTTCTGGATTGCCAGAAAACTAGCGATACTGGTAGTTTTGCGAAACCGTTTTTGAGTATACCGGTAGATGGAGCACACTTTTTAATCTATAATTATCTCCTTGTAGTGTAGTCCCAGTTATTTACACATGAAAATCAACAGAGAAGGTCTTATCTCCTTGCATTCAAAATCTACGGTTTTTTTGAAAATCCAGGACACAAAGGAGTGGTAGTTTGCAAACTTGCTTTTTCTGGTACTACCAGGTACCCACTATTGATACACGGTATTCAACTACCTAAGCCTTTGCTTTTTCTTTTGGTGAAATTTTTGAAAACAAACGGTACTACTTTTATCAGAATCACTCACATATATAAGAGTTGATTGTTCGGCGCTATTTGTTCTTGAGAGGAAATATAATTCTCTCTCTCTTTTCCTTGTCTTCTTCAAGTCTATGTGATTAATATTAAACATGAGTCATGATTATGTTATTCCTAACCTCCACGTGCACCGAGGTGGACACTACTATCCATTTCAAAAAAGAAGAAGCACGGCCATTTCTTTGATAACTTTTTCTAAGAAGCAGCTAAAAAGGTGCGGTTTTCAGTATCGGAAAGCGAAATGTTGGGGTAATATGAAAAACTAAA